CTGCTAAACATTCACTGCAGCTCTCTGCCTCCTCTTCCAAAGCCAACACATGAAACCTCACAGCACTTACGGGATAAGCTTACACAGTCTGCGGGGAGAGCTAATGGCAGGGGGTAGGCTGCTGCCCTCCAAACAGCCTCCTCTGTGTCCAGGAGCTGCTGAGCGAGGGCAGGGGATTGGTTTTCTGAAGAGGTCAGATGTGGTCGACAGGAGACACATTTATTAGCCCTGCTCCAGAGGCACCTTGCGACCTTTTTCAGCAAATTGCAATGAGGTTTTCTGAAATTGTTCCGGTTTAGTATTAAAATGCGTCATAAAAATGAAGTTTCTATATGCTACCAAGTCGAGGAAGTAAAGGTTTACAGAAACATCTGGAAAATAAAGATGACATCTCATCAAGAGCAACTCAATACCTGCTGCAGTCTTGGAAGGAGACACTGCTTCTAATAGAAACTCGATTTTACATGGGCATCCCAGTGTAAGATGACAAGTATTTTACTGACTCTGAATTTCAATTTTGATAAGCTTTTGTCTGGATGGAGGTCAACAAATATTATTCATCTGTTTGGAAATCCAAAGAAATGGGTGTAAGAGTGCAATGCACAAAACAATGAATTTGTTGTGGAGGAAAATTAATACCAAGTGGATGGCTATTCTGCATTGTAGAAAAGGTGTTTCGCTGCTGAAGTACTTTGAACCACGAGTACTGCCCTGATAATTGTAGTAACTTGTTCTGCTAATTCAAAGGTGCAGGAAAAAAAGGATCCTTTATCATTTATATACATTTAAAGAAGTGGCCCCCACTTCTACTGCTGACTTATAAACACTGAACTATTAGCACTTGTAGAAGAATAAAACTGCAGATTATCTACTCAGTAAAAATACTACAAAATTGCTACAGCATTGTTTGGAAAGCTTAACAGAAAACTAAAATTCCATAGGACAATAAAACACTATTAATAAAGTTAATTCTTCCTCCAGAAAAACAGATATTGCACATGCTTCTAAGAGCTGTTGAATAATTTGTTCAGAAACTGAGCTCATGTTACACTAACATCTGTTTAAAAGTTTGTAGCCAAGTACATTACAAAATATCGCTTTAGAATATAGAACTAGGTAAGGGAAAATCAGTTGTCATCACTTTTTAGCAAACAAAACTGAACTGGTGTGCTAGGTTTTTTGTCTTTTACCTCGAGTGGATCGTTCAGCCTACCTCAAATTAAACCCAGAGGTGACGTTAAGAAATGCTCGATGATTATGTACAGAAGGAATATTTACAACCACCAACTAATACCCGAGACATTTGCAAAGTGTGTTCCCCCAGCATTTCTACTTCCCTCCTTACGCTTTCTCCAAGGCACATAGTGAGCATTAAAAAAACATCATACTTGAAAATGTCCAATAATTTACGTTAGGTGCAGTAGTAACTTCTTGTAAGCTATGCTCACCCTATAAAAGAGGCAGCTTTCTCCTCGCTCCAACAAAATCCAAAGAACACAAACACAAAATAATTAACATATGAAAAGCATTCAGTTTTACATAAACACACATCACTGTACTTTTAAATGTTTCTTACTGCCTTATGGAAACAGATGGAAGATCGCACTTTATTTGAAGGTAGAGAAATTTTTAAGACGTAAATTACTGTAAAACGTTAACAGCCAATTAAATGAAAGTCAAGCTTACTTTTTTCCTTGTAGCACACTATTTTCTTTGCATGGATTAACAGATCAGTTACAGCAGTTTTTGGAATACCTACGTATGATGCCTTTACAGGAGATGCCTGGATAAGCTGCATTCTACACCTTGAAGACTGCACAAGCCATTCCTTCAAGTTTAAGATACACCTTTTCTTAAAATCAGAACCAATTCTAACAAAACCCACTTGCAATTGTCACTGCAAAACCAATTCAATGTATTTGCCACAGCATGATGTTAGATTTGCAGAGGTAGTTTTGACCAGCTGTGTACCACATTTTAAAAGGTTTATTTCAAAGCAATTTTAATTTCAGATAACATAGCTCAGAATTTTGATCCCTCTTCAGTAAGCTGGCTATTTACTTCTGTAACAACATCCACAGGAAAGGACTGAAAAGTAAATATGTATTTTAGAAGTACTATACAAAAATATTTCTAATAACCATTTTTTCTAAATAAAAAAGACAAAACGTTTAAAGAAAGCCCAAATACCTTCTTCAACTGCTGTTCCTTAAAGCACCGTACAGTCCTGGCTGGTTCAGAAATTAAGTTTTTATAGTTCTCACAGATATTGAGTCGGGATTGGGCCACTTGCATCGTGCCTTCTAAAAGCGATTTCCAAACTGAGTACATGCTCCTAAAATAATGAAACACAGAAAGGTTGTGGGAAGGAAGAAAGGGAAGCCAGGCAAAGAAAGACATGGAGCTGTTGAAGCAGGTCCAGAGGAGGCCATGAAGATGATCAGGGGCTGGAGCACCTCTGCTATGGAGATGGGCTGAGAGAGTTGGGGTTGTTCAGCCTGGAGAAGAGAAGGCTCTGGGGAGACCTTAGAGCAGCCTTCCAGTACCTGAAGGGACTACAGGAAAGCTGGGGAGAGATGTTTTACAAGGGCATGGGGTGACAGGATAAGGGGGAATGGTTTTAAACTGGAAG